TGTTGAATGTTTGTCCGTGATTTGTGCATATCGAGATCCTCGTGGGTTCCAACAGACATATCCACTATGAAGTTAATTTTGCAGCAGATTACCTTGCATCTCTAGCATCGACCATGTCGGGAGGCCTCCATATACTTGATGACCCTCTCACGGAGTGAAACCGTGGCTTGAAAACGATGTTCTAAGATAGCCCTGTAAGAATATGTGGCCCGAAAGCATTTGGCTCACATTTAATTATCCTATTGGGCCAGACCTTATTTAATAGTCAAACAAATCTAAGTCATTAATCTGGATATTTGATGGACGTACCTCATCTAAAGACACCCCTATATAAATTAGTCCTCTCTCCTCCTATTAGGGTACGCAGTCATAATCCCATCACTTTTCTGCTACGTTAAGATTGGACAGGAGGGAGAAACTAATTTAGTTCTCACAATCAATCAAGCCTCGTGTGATCATCAAGATCAAGATCACTAATTATGTCGTCTTCCGCATTAAGTAAGCATTTCGTATACACTGAATTATTTATTCAAGTCCTTGATAAAGTTTATATGTGGTATCAGAGCATGTGTTGTGAATAAATATTTTGTTGTATAAATCGTATGGGCATGATCGTATGATATCTGATGAATGTTCTTGTCGATCATATTAAACGCATAATTTAGCACAATCTGTCTATCTCACTTGCAACATATCTGATGAGTATTGTTTAGATCGGCTTATGAATTTTGAATATTTGTTGCTTCCGTATGAAGAGTTGTTTCGCATCAAACTCATACACTCATTTACTTTATTAATTAATGGGCCCAATATAATGAATGTTTACAATCTTACAATCTGCTTATGATGACTTGAGATTGACCCACACAATTATTCTAATGTGTTTCATTGGTTGAATTGGTTCCATATGCATGAATTATGAATAATGCAAAATTATTTGCTGGGAACAAATTGTTGCGAATAATTGAAATTTATGTATTTGAGATGATGATGATGATTGAGTTGACAAACTCCCATTATGTTTATAAGGGTTAGTTTGTTAACATTATGAATATTTATGAATAATGGGAGTTGACAAACTCCCATTATGTTTATAAGTTTTAACATTAGTTTGTTAACATTATGAATAATGGGAGTTGACAAACTCCCATTATGTTTATAAGTTTTATGTCTTCCTCGAAATTTGTTGTTACAAATTTGGCACGCCCGGTGGGACTTTCTCTACCTCTCATCTCTTCTCTCCAAATCAAGTTCGAAGATATTTGAAGATGCATGAAGTCTCCTTTGAAAAAAATTTACAAGGGGCAACGAAGGATGATGTCTTCCCAAGCCATGAGTCCGTCCATTGGGGGCAATTCGCATTGAAAGCTCCATCAAATCCTCAAATTCACATGCTCCTTGATATGAGCCTAAACTATCTAAATATTCAAGGCTCCTTGATATGAGCTTAAACTATCTACATGTGCTCCTTGATATGAGCTTAAACTATCTATATGGCTCCTTGACACGAGCATAAAATGTCTACATATCAAGATCTCCTTGACACGAGAATAAAAGGTCTACATATCTAACTTGAAGGCTCCTTGATATGAGCTTAAACTATCTACATATTCAAATGCTCCTTGATACGAGCCTAAACTATCTACATATTCAAATGCTCCTTGATACGAGCCTAAACTATCTACATATCAGGCCAAATTAAAGACTCCTTGATACGAGTATAAACTGTCTACAAATCAAGCCAAATGAAGAACTCCTTGATATGAGTATAAACTATCTACCAAGTCTCAAATTCATATGCTCCTTGATACGAGATTAAACTATCTACAACGCTACTTGATATGAGCTTAAACTATCTACATATGCTCCTTGGTATGAGCCTAAACTATCTATATGGCTCCTTGACACGAGCATAAAATGTCTTCATATCAAGAACTCCTTGACACGAGAATAAAAGGTCTACATATAAAACTTGAAGACTCCTTGACACAAGCATAAAATGTCTACATATCAAGATCTCCTTGACACGGGAATAAAATGTCTACATATCAAATTTGAAGGCTCCTTGACACGAGTATAAAATGTCTACAAATTTGAAGGCTCCTTGATACGAGCATAAAATGTCTACAAATTTGAAGACTCCTTGATACGAGTATAAACTATCTGTCAAATCAAATCAAGACTCCTTGTTACGAGTTTAAACTAACTACAAATAAATAAAGAACTCCTTGACACGAGTTTAAAATATCTACAAATCAAGTCAAATGAAGAACTCATTGATAAGAGTTTAAACTATCTGCATGTCCAAACCAAAATTCAAAATTTTGAGACTCATTCACTACCATGACATTTTGTCCGTGAACAAGTCTCAATGGGGCATTTGTAGATATCGAAATTTTAATATTTTATTAATTAGTGTCTTTATTTATTTTTGGACATAAATCCAAGATAAATAAGATATTAATTAATAAAGTAATTATTTCTTGTCCACCAAGTCAAATCTTAGGATAAGGAAATCAAATCTTAGGAGAAGGAAAGAGATTATGTAAAATCATGAAGGACCAATCAAATTGAAGTCTTCTTCTCCAAGACTCTCTCTCCTACACCTATAAATAGGGCTCTTCTCAATCCCACAAATTACACCTCAAACACCTCAAACACCTAAAAAAATATCAAACACATCTCAAAGATTAAAGTCTCAAATTCAAGGGCTCTCAAGAACCCTCTTGAAGATTTCAAGAAGTTCTTGAAGAACCGCCCGAAGTTCATTCAATGAAGAAGAATGCCAAGAAGAAGAAAAAGAGGCGGCGACTCTTCCTCAAGAAGTAAAGAGACGACTTTCACGCTTCTCAAGTCAATCCAAGAATATCAACGACGTTCAAGCGACATTCAAACCGCGTTCGTTGAGAAGTTCAACCAACATAGCGTTTGATCCGGGAAAAAGCTATCAAGCCCCCGAATCAATGTTATTCAAGTCAGAGTCCCTCTTTCAAGAAGATCAAAGAATCAAGTCTTCCAAGAAGTCATATTCAATCAAGTCAAGCCTAACATTTAATACGGGAATAAGTCATTCGACCCCCAAATTAATGTTAGAGAAATTCAAGACCAAGCCCGAAGGAGATTCATTCGTCAAATCCATCTTTGAAGGTCTCAATCCCAAATTCATGAAGAGAAGAATCAGAGGAGATAAACAGAGATTGTACCCGTCATATCGTTTGATCGAAATATACAAGTTGTACAAAAGTTTTATGTCTCCCTTAAAATTTGTTGTTACAATGACATTAAGATAAAATTAATTTGTTAGTCACCAAAGTGGCCTATTAATTTTTAATGCTCGGTCATATAATATTATTGTTATAATGCTTATTATATGACATTAAGATAAAATTAATTTGTTAGTCACCAAAGTGGCCTAATTAATTTTTAATGTCCGGTCATATAATATT